TTTCAGAATCATGCATTCTTTTATTTTTCATTTAAAAAACAATAAGCATTAATCTGTCTTGTGTTCATACTTTAGTGTGTTTTGCATTTTCTGAAGATAAGAATGAACATGTCAGGTCACATTTGGTAGAAATCTGGGATGCTTCCTGGAATGCTCCTGAATTTTCATATATGAATTAAATACCATCTATTTGTGGGCTATAGGCTTCTGTCTCTTCATAAAAGCTGTAATGGCCTTTGAACATAAAATGAATATTGGTCAACAATTCAATGCAATAAATTTTTCTAATGAAGAAATTTAGCTTTATTTGATGAAATATGAATAAGGGAAATTCAGTTAATTGTACTCATTAAAGCTTTGGAGATCTGTATATCTCCCCCAAAAGGGTCTCTCTTTGGCAGCAGGCTCCATTTTGCATCCACTCATTTCTTAAACTTCCAGTCCTCTTACAAGCTTCATGGTACCTAAAAGGGCCTGCTCCTTCCATGCCAACCCAACTCTAAAATTAAGCCTCTTCTTGTGGATCCAGGTGTCCTGTACTTGTTTGTTACCATTTTGATCATTCTTCTCTCTCTGGTAGTGACTCACAAACAGGACTTTTAGGTTTCTCTGTCTCATTGCTATCCACCATGCTTCTGTTAGACAGTTAATTCTGCTTCTGTGTAATCAGAAGCTTAAAAGTGGTAGAAGAAATTTTGGCAAAATGAGAATCCTTCTTCATGCCAGGCACTGTGCAGTTAATTATGTCATTTAATCCTTATAAGACCCTTATAAAGTAGTTATGGTTATTTCTTCCATAATCCCAGAACCTAGTAGAGAAAATGAGCACACTTCCCAATCAGACAGGCCATGCTCAGAGTCTCTAGGACAAGTGATTTTCTCTGTGTAGTGGGGTGAGAGATTTCCCAGACTTCTTTGTACTGTTCCATATTTCTAAATTGTCTACAATAAGAATGTATTAATATTACACTTATCAAAAATTAATATTTTATAAAGAAAGGAAAAAAGTTATACATACATATTATGGGACATATGGAAAGTATAGAAATTTAGAAAGAAAAAAGTGCTCATTGCTTTAATGTAAATATAATCTTTATGAACTTTTTGGTCCCTTTTCTTCTAGTCTTTTTATATGTATGTAATTGAACATGTTTATATAGTTGTAATAATTTCTTATTGTTTTCTCCATAAAAAACTGCGATGCCAGCACTCATATATTGGTGAACTGTAAGAATGCCTCTTTCATTTTCACTTTTTCCTGGGCCTTCTTCCCTTGTCTTGAATTGCTGTCTCTGATACATGTGCACTGCCTTGAAAGCCCCATTTGGCTAACAGGTATCAATGTGATAAGCCAGAAAAAGAAAAAGAAAAGCTTATTACTTCTCCTCTTCTTGTTAACACACACATCATTATAATACCCTCTATGTTTTTTTCATGGGTAGAGTGATTCAGTCTACACATTCATATATTCATTCATTCAACAAATATTTGTTCTAAATGCCAGCCATTTTAATCTTCATTGAGGATGCAGAGAGAGTAGAAGAATCCCTGCTCTTTAGGAGAACATAGATGCGTAAATAAGAAAAAGAGCAGTGTGGTAAGTTATATGCAGAAATATCAGCCAAGTTCTGTAAGAACACAGAGGAGAATCACTTGGATTCTCCTAGAGATCCAAATGATTCTCCTAAAGAAATCAAGGAAAGCCTTTCATGGGTAAGAAAATGGAGCTCAGACAGATTTGGTTACCTAGCTGGTTCGTGGTTGTGTTGGCATTAAAACCAGATCTCACTGCAAAACCCGTCTTCCTTCCAACAAACTGTCATGAAGAGGCGCCCCGTTTTTGTTGTTTTGGAAGCTCTAGGTGTCTATATTTGGCAAATTCCTGAGTCAGGGACCACAGCTGCCCCTTTTTTCTCTCCCCATTTCAAAATGCCACCAATTTCTGATTTGATCAAAAAGTAATGGAAGAGAAGTAAGGAAACCTGAGTTCTCTGAAGACCAGCTTTGCCACCATTTAACTAGGTGATCATGGGCACCTTATTCCTCTTTTCTAGGTATCTGTTTCCCCATTTGTAAAAGTGAGGAGATTGAAATAAATCTCTCTAAGCTTCTGATTTTTTATAAATAATATGTCGTGGTTTCCTTCTCCTTTTTAGCATATGTAGCATTTCCATATGATTGTAGGTTCCCAAGGGCCTTGGGAAATCTTGATACACTATGGCTTAGGCAGAGGAGTAGATGGTAGTCAGGAGTGAGGGCTCTTGACTGCCTGGGTTTGAATCTCAGCTCTATAACTTACATGCTGTTTAATCTTGCATGTAAGATGAACCTCATTGAGCCTTAGTTTTGTAATTTGTAAAATAGGAATAATAATAAAGGACTCACAGAGCTGATGGGAAGATGCAGTGAGCTTATGTGTCTAAACCACTGTGCACAGTGTCTGGCACGTGGTACTCAATAAATGTAGCTAATGATACTAATGGCTGTGTTACTAGTACTAATTTGAAGTCCTGAAGCAGTTTTAGAAGTCAGAATATCACAGTAGCTTCTTTTATTAATGATTCCCCTGTAAAGGCACAAAGGAACCAATATCCATGCATAGAATATGGAATTTTAGTCATTGTTTTCCCCCTTAGATGTTCAGTTAAAGGTTGATAGGGGGTGGGGCACTGTTTACTGCTAAACTTTACTGAGGACCCAGAAACATAGAGTGGATTATTCACTCTTTTCCTTGCTGTGTTCCCAGTGCTCAGGACAGGCTACAGCACAGTGTAGGCACTTTACAAATGTTTTTTGAATGAATAAATGATATCACACTTTATATTTAAGAACTGGGGGGAATAATAGCACTTGGCACATTGAGTCTTTTGGCTTTCAGAGCTTAGGCTGTGACATTTGCTGAGTTTGTTTGGAGGAGATTTGGGGGCGTCCTGTGACAATCAAAGCAGAATTCTTCTGATGCCACTGTTTGGCTTTCTGCTTTGATCAATAGACTTATTATTTGCCCTTGAAACCTCTGTGGTGCTAGGGATTCACAGACATTCCTCAGGATGATTTACACGGCAGTAAATAATCTGTGCTGTCCATTGCTTGCTTCATCAGTGTCTGCTCTGCTCATAAAATCCCGGAGGCTCAGTGGCCCCAAGGCTGGAGCACGGTGGACATGTTCACTCCAGTTACAGATGTTTGCACATAGAACATGTTACTCACTTTCACTGTTGCTTTGTTGCTCTAATATGCATCCACAATTTGTCTTTAAGGGTTGACCTAACTATACATGTTATTTTACATCTAACTTTATTATAGTTGCTACCATTTATTTTTTTACCTCTGTTATATGCTAGGTACTACATATATTATCTCATCAAAACTTCAAAACCCCCTCTAGGTGACTGTACCCTTTCTGTAGAATTGGAATCTGAAGGGAACGAAGCATATTCTCTGAAATCACGTAGTCCATGAGCAGTGGGGCTTAGGTTGAACTGAAGTCCCTTTGGACACAAAGCCCTTAGCTACTACACCATGATATTTTCCTCATCTAAAGGGCTTTCTTCTCCTTCTACAAGTGTTTTGTGTTGAAGTTGGTAACCTTTTGCAAAGATTGGTAAGTTTCCTATACCATTCAGAGATGAATTTTAAGTTTCTTAACAGCATTGCAAATACATGAAATTTATAGTGACAAACATAGACAGATTACTTTCTTGTTATCCATCCATTTAGTAAATTTACAGGTCCCATTAATTTAAATCTGTCCTTATTACCTATTTTATATAATAAATATCTCTTAGTCATGACATACTGAGTATAGATCACCTGAAGTAGGCTCTCTCTCAATAAGCAGAGTTGCAGCTAAAGATTTGTGAATTAATTGGGAAAATTGCAAATCAGGTAGTCAGTGAAATAATTCATTGTCACATCCAATCAATAAACTTTGTAAATCAACTCATTTAATTCAAAAAATGATCTATATAGATCAAGCAACCAATTAAACAATTAGCATACACTTTGTAATTAATTAATTTAAGCATCAATCATATAATTAAAACTCCAAACTTAAGCCACAGAATTTAGAATCCTACCTCCTTGTGAACTATTAGGTTCATGCTTCTGAATGCTAGCAGATTTGCAGTTTCACAGTTCAACTTTGGTGCAGGGTATTTTAAAGTGTTTAAGTTGATTTCAGTTTTAAATTTTCTTTATGTTAGTATAGTTTCCCACCCTTTTTCAGCAAACTGACTTTTTATTTCCCCCAAAGGAGGAGTGTTAATTCTAAATTGGGCAAAGCTGGAATCTGGGAGTACTGACTGGACGTTCTGGGGAAGTGAGACAAGTCCAGAAGTAGTTGAGAAGGCTAGGTATCTGCGTCAGGATGAATTGCATCATTTGCTTTTACTCTGTTAAGTGTCCTTGGTGTTTGGAATCAGATCCTGCCAAGTGAACCTGATATTCTTCAGAGAAAGGAGAACTGTAAAGATTGTCTTGGTTACCTTGAGTTCTTCTGATCTAGAGCATAGATATTTTCTTAATCCCGAACATAAATCAAAGGCCTCTGATTCCCTCCAAATAATTTTTTCCTCCTTTATAGTTTTGTCTCTCTTTTATGATATTTATTTTATTTACATTTATAAATATTATAGCTAATGCAGTGCTTACTTTTTCCCCCTGCTATACTCTAAGCTTCCTTTGAGGGCTGATACTCAATCTCATCTTTGATCAAAGGGGTTAAGTTCTGGGTCTTATCTATTAACAGGTGCTCAGTAAATATTTGTTGAAAGAATAAGAGCAGTATAAATGTTCTCCTTTCACATTGTTTTTCTCCCCCTTTGCGGTGCCATGTGTTTTCTCTTTGTCAGATGAAGTAGGGTTTGGGAGATCTAACTGTATCACCAGGCTTTGGGGTAAAAAACAGTAGTGTCCCAGTTTCCTGTACACCATAGCTTCTGGTCTCTGCATCCCTCCCTCACCTTGGTGTTCACTTACCTTTTTGGTTTTTCTTACAGTGACAATGTCAGTGCCTACTGCCTGCATATTGCCGAGGATGATGGGGAGGTTGACACAGATTTTCCCCCACTGGATTCCAACGAGCCCATTCATAAGTTTGGCTTCAGTACTTTGGCCTTGGTTGAAAAGTATTCATCTCCTGGTCTGACATCCAAAGAGTCACTCTTTGTTCGAATGTAAGTATTGACTCTGTTACTTATCTCAGTATCTCACCTCTACCTTCTAGTACTTTGGATTTGATTTTGGCTTTGTTCATCAAATGAATGATATTTGGTATCTGGAGAGTCAACATGTAATGATTACTTTCAGAGAGATGTTGGGGACAACATTTGCATTGTATTCTATGCCTCTGCACCTGGATTAAATGCAGACTGCTTTGCAGTAGCAAATTCTATTAGGTGTATCTTGAATGTCATGTCTAGGAACCAGACCTCTGGAAATACTGGGGTACTTTGGGACCTATGAAGGACAAATTTGGGGTTTCCCTCTTTCTCATTAAGGAATCCAAACTGAAAATGTGCATTGCAGCCACTTCTCTTTTGTGACTTAAAATACTTCTTTTTCTCTCCAACTTTGTTCAAATCAAATTTGATTTTTCTTAGTTGCCTTCCATTAGACTGAGCAGAGGTTCTTAATCTTTCCTGTGCCTTTGGTAGTCAGGTAAAGCCTACAGAAGCCCTTCTCAGAAAAGTGTTTGTAAATGCAGAGAGTAGAATTCACAGGAGTATGAAAGAATTCCATTATATTTAAATAGTTATCAAATTATTAAACAAATTTGTGATATAGTAATATGTACTGGCTTTATTAATACGTTAAATGACAAGATCCAGAGGCAGGTCTAACAGTAACTCCTGACGTCTCTTGTTTCAAAGTAGTGGTAAGTGTAAATGATATTTGAGAAATCTGCAACAATTGTAATGTGCTATGATGGTATCTGTGGTTTCTGTTCATGACAGAGTCACCAGTACTGCTCATATGACTGTGGTTTGTTGACTGCATTCATAATTCAAGGAGATGCTAAATATCAGTTAGAAGTTAGTTAAAATAAAAATGGGGCTTCCCTGGTGGCGCAGTGGTTGGGAGTCTGCCTGCCGATGCAGGGGACACGGGTTCGTGCCCCGGTCCAGGAAGATCCCACAGGCCGCGGAGCGGCTGGGCCCGTGAGCCATGGCCGCTGAGCCTGCACGTCCGGAGCCTGTGCTCCGCAATGGGAGAGGCCACAACAGTGAGAGGCCCGCATACTGCAAAAAAAAAAAAAAAAATGTAGTTTTTGTCCATTCACATCTGTAGAGCACCTGAGTCTTACACATATGTCCTGGTTGTTAGGGGAAAACCTGCAGCGTTTTCTCAGCTTTAAGGTCTTCTAACAGAGGCCGTGACAGTCCCACTCCTGGCCATCTCCTGGGAGCAATAGCGATCCCTTTGGCATCCCCTGCTGTTAGTAACCAGCAAACTCACTGTCCAGAAGAGGGATTGCTTTAGAGGACTTTCCCCCATCTTTTAAAAACGTATTGCCTTTGTTTCAGGTTTTTACTAAAAATAGGATTATGTTACCTATGATATATGAGTATTTTGGGTGTTTCTACCCTTGACCAAAGAAAGAAATCTGTGTGCCTGGGAGTGAGCCGGGGATGGCTCCTCAAGCTTTATTATTGTCATTTCATCCCTACCCTGAAATCATGTTTGGTGTATATAACATCACATATTTTCCTTCTTCTTACATTTCAGAGGCACTAAAACAACAACTTTAAAGAATATTAAAGTAATTTAAAAGTTTTCCAATGATTCCTCCATCCCAGTATAATTATTTTCATTTCTGTATAATCATTTCCACATGTATATATATTACAGTTTCAGTTCTAGCGTACATATTGTGTTATTCTTACTTAACATTATATTACAAGTATTTTGATATCTGTTCTTAATTCCTACAATCTGCATTTATTATGTAATGTCTCAGACCTTAGGTAAAAACCTGCAGCTGCTTTTCTAACAAACTGTTGATCAGCAAAAATAAAGGGGCTACAGAAACGCTCATGTTTATGCTGTTCCTTTTTGGACTTCACGCAAAGACAGTTCTGTGTAAATGTACAGTTGACTCTGATTTGGAAATCTGAAAATCAGTTCATCCTTGTTATAAAAAAATTTTTACAATTGTAATTATATTGATATTCATATTATATAAAATAACTCATTTAATAAATTAGTACTTGAATTTTTCAAAAAAATCTAGACAGAGACAGCCCCTGTTTTCATGGAGCTTACTGTCTAGTTGGGGGAGAGTTGTCAAACAGCTCATTCAAATGTGATGAGCAATACAACAGAAAAATGTATGGGGTGATATGGATGCCTGTCAGAGGATGTTGAGATTGTTTCCTTGTTTTGGTTTTAACAAGTGATTCTATAATGATAGTCCTTATCTATATCCCTTTTATTTCTGTTGAATAACTTCCTTAGGATAATTCCCTGTGAATAGGATTATTGATCAGGGTAGAAACATCTTCAGATTCTCGCTTTGTATTGACATATATAGCCTTCTGAAGAGGTATCTATTACAGTGCTACAAATAAAATTCATAAAACCATCTTTTCAGTCTTACCATTACAAGGTGTCATTAGAAGTTTTTTCTTTTTACTTTAAAAGATGTATATAGGGACTTCCCTGGTGGCACAGTGTTTGAGAGTCCGCCTGCCGATGCAGGGGACACGGGTTCGTGCCCCGGTCCGGGAGGATCCCCCATGCTGCAGAGCGGCCACAGCAGTGGGAGGCCCGCGTACCGCAAAAAAAAAAAAAAAAAAAAAAAAAATGTATATAATGAAATGTCAGTAGTTTCTGCTTGAAACTCTATTGTTTATTAATAAATCACTAGAAGAATTGTTCTCTTTAGCACATAATTTTTACTACATAAATATTAACTTATGATCATAGCAGTCTTGATCTGAAAGTCCTTTTTTCAAACAAGAGCTTTAAAATCAGTGATTTTCAGTAGAATGAGGTTGGGGGTGGTTTGGGCATACCTTCCTAGGAGAAGCATCTAAGGCCACACAGTGTCTCACTGTGAACCCTACCTTCCAGAGAATGGGAAGAGAGAATGGGAAAACAACTGCTTTAAACCTGATACTTTTTTTTTTCCTGAATTACTCCCATCCCTGCCCTCTCACTCCCAAACACACACACCACAGTCAATCCGTTTTTTATTCTAAAGTCCAGGAGTTTATTCAACATGTCTGGAGTGTTTCTGAAAACACAAGGTCAAGTAAAATCTTTATATGTGAGCATTTAGAACAAATGTCAATACATTTTCTCTTTCTTCTTTTTCTCAGTTGTCTGATGAAATAGTACAAATTACTGACCATTTGCCCTGTGTATGTTTTTTTGGTTCAACAACCTCCCATTCACCTTTCTGGTCCAAATTCCAAGTTCGAAAAATGTCTCCTGCAAATGCAGGACAGAGCAGACCTTTAGGAGTCTCCAGGGACATATCCAAAGTTTCAGAGAGTGAAGTGCCAGCAAAAGAAGTGAAACCATTGCTCCTTCTCTTCATTCCCTCCCTTTCCTCTTTGCATCTCTCTCCCAGTGGAGAATGGGCAGGAAGTGGCTGCGTAGACACTGCACTGAACCAGGAAGAAGGAGCTAGTTTGACAGTGGAAAGTGAATTAGTATTTACTAAGGGCCAACTATGTATATGTTATTTCATTCAATCTGAAAATAGCCCAGTTTTTATTATGACCATTTTAGAGACATGAAAACTGAGGCTGGGAAGTACTGCTCTCAGGTCTGGACTTGACCCCATGCCTAACTTCAAAGTCCATTTTTTTCCCAACACCCTGCTGATGGTTGGGATGTGGGTAGGGGAATCAAGTGTTGGTCTAGTCATTCAAGTGAATCCCACCATCTTAAGGCCAAAGTTCAAGAGCATGGTGACCCCTGGAGACAGACTTCTTGGGTACCAGTTCTCACCTTGCCCTTACTAGTGTGTGTGAAATCTCAGATGAATTACTTGACTTTTCTACGGCTCAGTTAAATGAGGGTAGTAATAATACGTCTCTAATAGAGCTGTTGTAAGGATTGGATGCGTTAATATGCGCAAAGCACTTAGAACAGTGCCTAGCCTAAATAAGCATTATCTAAATAAGTGTTTGCTGCAATTGCTGTTATTAATAATAAAAATCCTCTGAGGGCAAGAACTGGATCATTAGTGCCCCTCAGCACCCAGCATAGCTCCATTACTATGGTGGTAATGGAGTAAATAGAGGGATTGAGTAAAGGCTGAATTGGAATAACTTTTGCTGAACACGGACAGGGGTGGACATTGGAGATCTGCAGACATCCTCTGTGGCAGACATCCTTTAAGACAGGGGTCCCCAACCCCCGGGCTGCGGACTGGTACCTGTCCGCGGCCTGTTAGGAACCAGGCTGCACAGCAGGAGGTGAGCAGCAGGTGAGTGAGCGAGCGAAGCTTCATCTGCCGCTGCCCATCTCTCACATTACCGCCTGAACCATCTTTGCATTACTGCCTAACCCATGCCTGCGCCTAGCACAGGGCTTCCTAGAGAAGGAATGAACGAATGAATCTTCAGGTGTCTGCGGGCTGCTCGGGGAGGAGGCCCTTGGGGAAGCTTTCTGTCCCACCTTGCTTTCTGAGCCCACTTAACCTCTTCTGCAGCCCTGTTTCTGCCTTTTGAATACCATGAAGCCCCAGGTTGCCTTCTGTTTTTCAGAGGCCCTCATACCGTTCAACCAGGAGTCTCCAATATACCATCTTGCCCTACTCCAAATGAGGCAGCACAGCCTTTGAACTTAGGCTAACCTGGGTTCAAGTTTCAGCTTCACTAGTGACTTGCTCCATGACTGTAGTCTCAGTTTCTTCATCTGTAAAGTGAGGATGGTAATTACTACCTCATGGATTTGTTGTGAGGAATGTTCTTAAATGTAAGTAATGTACAGACCTCTTTTAAAGGAAAATTAATTCTTCTAGAACTTCAGTGTTTGCCCAAATTTGTTTTATTATAATGTTACTTAAACACGTACAAATGTAAAATTCTAGCTATAAATTCCATGTCTTTATGCAATCCAAAAAAATTACAAATTAAATGCAAATAAGACTATAACATTAATAAAATAAAAATTAACAACTTTAATGCAACAGATGATATTTTGCTGAAATTAAGTCACT